GAGCTTCTAATTTGTTGATTAAGTTATAGATTGATGACATTTTGTTTGAATTCCATCAAAAAACTGGCTTTTATAGTACTATCTTTGACACATACATATTTTTGTCATCATCATTAATAAATTGAAGACAATAAACGTAAATATTGCATTAGAATATTGCAATTAGACGTCAACTATTGATATTTTGATATTATGTGCATAACTCAATGTATTTAGTTTAATAAAATACATTGTAAACAAGGCCTTTTCATTTTAATTTATTTAAATTGACTGTGTTTATATTACAGAGCCATTAACGCTTAGTACAAATATTAATAATTAGTGCATTTTACAGCCTGTATATTTACCTATTGGTAATAATTCTGTAAACTTTTCAGTTGGATTTTGCAAGGTAATAATAATGTAATGTGTTAATAGATTACTGTTTATTGTCATTAATTGGCTGATTTTCTTTGATGTGGCAATTGTGCATTTTCTGATGTTTACGCACTAGTATCCAATTGGTTGGCTTCACATCCAATTGCACAGGCAATAGGAAAACAAGCTGCCACCCTGACCACATCCAGTCTCGGGGTGGCGGCTTGTTTTCCTATTGCCTGTGCAATTGGATGTGAAGCCAACCAATTGGATACTAGTGCGTAAACATCAGAAAATGCACAATTGCCACATCAAAGAAAATCAGCCAATTAATGACAATAAACAGTAATCTATTAACACATTACATTATTATTACCTTGCAAAATCTGACTGAAAAGTTTACAGAATTATTACCAATAGGTAAATATACAGGCTGTAAAATGCACTAATTATTAATATTTGTACTAAGCGTTAATGGCTCTGTAATATAAACACAGTCAATTTAAATAAATTAAAATGAAAAGGCCTTGTTTACAATGTATTTTATTAAACTAAATACATTGAGTTATGCACATAATATCAAAATATCAATAGTTGACGTCTAATTGCAATATTCTAATGCAATATTTACGTTTATTGTCTTCAATTTATTAATGATGATGATGAAAATATCCTCAGAAATAAGTATATGCTACCACATCAAATGTACAACATTCTTTACACACGGAAACTTATAACAATGTAAAAAATATATTATTAATTATGAACTGAAAGAAAAAATCAATTTTAATAGTAGTCACCAAGAAAAGATTTATTTACTAATCAAAGGACGGGAAGGGGAGGGAATGGGCGGAATGAACATTGCCTTCATCTGCGCCTATGAAAGGGACGGCATCAGAGATGGTGGGGAGGGAATGGGTGGTTGCTTGGGAGTCAGGGTTGGAAGGCGGGTGGCTTGATCTTGATGGGGGGTTGGGGAGGCAGGGTCTGTTGACTGGGGAGGGGCAGCAAGAGCGGTTTGCTTCAATTGCTCAAATTCTTCTTCTGTCACATATGCGGGCTTGACAAAACGGATGGAGTGGCGTGGGGGGAGGCGGGGGTCCTTTCTGGACTTATCACTATCACTTGCATAGAAGATGATGAGATCAAATAAGTCCTGGACGGACGCGGAAGGGAAAAGCTCATAGCCCATATCAATTTGGGTGCATAGTTCATTGTAGGTGGCAGGCTTTAAGCGCCTGAGAGCGGAACCAAAATTGTAGAGACATACATCTGCAAGGTGCATGTTGGCGTAGTTGATGGGGTAGGACCAGCAGGTATGCCCCGCAGCCCTAATTTCCTTGGTTGCCCATTCCCGCTGTTCCATCTCAGCACTAATTACAACTGTGTGCACAGCGTTTTGGGCGGCCCACTCCTCCAGCATGTCCTTGAGCTCCGTCTGGTAGGCATACCCATCTGCGGTGTTTGATATTGCCAAGTAATAATTGACGCCCAATGGGGAAACTGCCAATAAAACACCGACAAACCAATACAAGATTGGGCCGCGCTTGTACACGTCAGATTGGATGCGCTTCTCTCCAAAGTCTTGGATACTGGCCGAGATCTTAGCATACAACAGGAATATTACGTCATTAGGGGCCCTCATTGCCCTTCCTTTGATAAAATTAATAATTGTTGAATTGTAGGGGTTGGTATCCACCAAAATGGGGCCACTGAGAACTTGATTGAACAAGATTCTAGCAGCAACCACAACTCCGTGCATCCATGAATTCACCGTTCTTTTGTTGGTGAAGATGCCGTGGAGTCCCAACTGGAGACGTACCTGGACCAGGGGCATCCGCGGGTCACGTTCCATAATGGCCATCATGAGAGGGTGGGCTTTTTCACCTTTGGTTGAGGTACGAGCACCAGTTGGGGTCTTCTTGGCAGGGGGCCACAGTTGGCGTGGGCTCGCAGGGTTGCAGCCACAGTGGACTTTGCAAACCCCATTGCGGCCGCAATTTCCCCAAGGGACATAAGCTTCCCTTGCTTTTCAACCATTTTGAGAACAATCTCCGGGGTGATCAATTTTCTTCTGCGTCTTGCAGGCTGATTGGCTGGGGGAGGGACGTGTCCATCTCGGAAACTGGTTGATGCCATCTGATTGGCTGTTTTGGGGTTCTGGGCTCTCTGAGTGACCCCATGGCTCAAATGGCTGGTTCCAGATGCCATCACTGATAAGGGATTTTGGTTAGCAGCTGCCTGTGCATGATGGGCAAACAGGGCCATGCTTGAGGACGCAGGAGAAAGAACACACTCCTGGGTAGTGCTTGCGGAGGGGCCTGCGGGTTGGGAGTGGCCATAGACAGAGGCTTCACTGTTAAGAGACCCAGTGTAGCCCTGCATGATTTTGTCAAGGCCAGGGAACAGCTCGTTGACTTGGTTGGTGTTGGAAGAAGACATAATAAAAATTTATTAAAATTTTAAACTCAAGAAGAGGAATGTATATTTTAGTCAATTTTATTGTTAAATATGTCAATTTTGTGAATATTACGCTCTAAATTTTGGCTGTCCTAAAATGGAATAGGGTGAATTTTGAGAATGCTTGTGCTTCCTAAAAGAATTATCACAAATCCACTCTAGATCCTTTAACATCCTTTTTGAGACACCAATAAATTATATTTATTTCAAATTCATCGCAATTTTGATTTGAAACTTGGTTCTTGGATTTGACAATCCCGCAATTTCAGATTTGTTAATTTTCACATGATGTCTATGATTTGTTTGAAATACAGGAAATCACAAATTGTACATTAGAATCCCGCATTTCTGATTCATGTATCCCGCATTTGTTTGCTGAGTTTTGTCTTTTGTTAGTTGAGTTATCTGCTCAAGAGATTCAAAATTTGCCAATTTAAATAAACCAAAAAAAATCAAAATAAATGGTTGATTTTATTAAATATTTTATTTTTCACTCAGCTGAGTTGCCCGCAAAAGTGATTCAAAATTTGGACCAAGGATTTGACAATCCCGCATTTTTACGTTCAGGTTCTGAATTTACAGTAGCACTACAGGGGAGTCTATTCCACTGAACTTTTAAAATGGGGAAATTAAATCTTGAAATTTTCCGTCGTGGAGTTATTATTGGAACCAGTTGCTTAATTCACCCGAACCTGATAGAATAGGCCCAATATGTGATGCCACTTTATGAACCCCCTGTTTCATATAATTAATTATACGCACCCTGTCTACTAACCCTTTTTAAAACCAACTTCACATTGATGCAAAAAAAACCCTGTACTTGTCTGGGGCCCTATTGGTGCCAAATCCAGAACAGAATGGATGACTCAACGGAAGCGTCAACGTCAACTATCTGCCAAAAGCGCTCCTGAATCCTGATAATGAAACTGTTTAAATCAATAGCATTGGAAGCCTCAACATCATTGGCAGGCTATAAGCAAGGGATAATATTCATGCCACTTCTCCGAAGCAAGGATCAAGCCATGAGTCATGTGTGTTTATTTGATTAGTTTACATCATGCGGCAAGCTGTGGAATAATCATTTATTCCACTCCAGAGCTGTTATTACTAGGGATGCTTCAGCTCAGCCCTGGATAGCTTCCGGCTCCAGACCGCTACAGCCAAAAAATAATTCCCGAATATTTAATTATTTTAATATTTGACAGGAGTGACCCAGAGCTAGAAGCTGGCCATGGCCCAAGGCTTAGTCAAAGCAGCCCTAGTTATTTCTAGGCTATTTATTCCACATAGTTGTACCCCAATTTACCAGAAATATTGACGGAGTTGTGGGAAGGATTAATTAGGGGTAGAATCATCAGGGAACCTCTTTTACTCATAGAATGCAGATTTCCAATATTCTGGGGGCCTGTTCGTTGGCTTGCTGGCTGTTTGTCTTTGTCCCCCAAGTTTACAAAAATTACACAGCTAAAGATGCTTCTTCGCTTTCGTTGGATTTCGTCCTTTTATGGCTTCTGGGGGATACTTTGAATTTAGTTGGCACCATCTTGTGCGGTCTTCAGAGATCTACATTGGTACTGGGTTGTTATTTTTTTCTTGCAGATTCTCTCCTTCTATCGCAGATCTTTCTCTACCAAGACTCTGAGCTATCCCTCCCGTTGCTAGATGCTCCTCGAGCCAAAAGCTATCCCAAGAAAAGAGTCATATTTGCCCTATTTGCGCTAATATTTTTTATCTTACCTTTGTATGTGCTCTTCCCCATAAATGAAATGGGTATGATTTTTGGTTGGGCCTCTAGTATTCTTTTTTTGAGTGCTCGCTTGCCCCAGATGTTGAAAAATCATCGCCGTAAATCAGTTGAAGGTTTATCTATTCTTCTATTCACCTTCTGTGTACTTGGAAATTCAACCTTCATTGCTTCCATATTCTTATCTCCTCAAGCTGACCCATCATTTTTGATTAAGAACGTACCCTGGATTTTTGGCGCAAGTAGTGCCATATTTGCTGACTTTGTACTCTTCTTTCAGTTTTATTGGTACAAGAAAAGAGCCATCCAGTAGTTTAGATTCACTACATATTCGGAAAAAACAAAGGTACCTATAGAAAGGCAAATTAAACCTTTATTAGAAAAAACCGCCCCTTTCCTTCAATTGATGTAAAATTTTAGATTTTCAAAAAGTATTTAATGTCATAGCGCGGAATCGAACCGCGGTCGTAGCGGCCACAACGCTGCGTACTACCACTATACTACTATGACTTTTTTAGGTATCTCCTGAAATAGCACGATTTTATTTGTATTATAAAACGACGTTAAAAGGAGCGCGGCCAAGAGAAGGGAGGATGGGAAATTTATTATTATGGGAGGCTAAAGGTGTGGCAGAACTTGGATGGCCTTCCACTATAATACTATGACTTAGAGCATTTTAAAAGCTCTTCATATATGTTATTTTATTTTTTAACACGTGAATAATTTTCAGTTTTTGATAAGATGTAAGCTTTTCACGGCAAAACTGTAGGTAGTAATTGGTGTTAAATTGTATTGGATTTTTCGTGTGTGGTTTTTTGGTATGGTGTGCAATTAAAAAATCTATATTATGAGACTATTATATTTAGGTTATAAATTGAATAGTTTTTTTTACAAAGATGGGACAATAGGCTCTTAGGGTGGATATAGCAACTTTGGTCAGACTAAGGATAGTTAAAATAATCACTACTTTCCTGCTGTGATAATAGGTTTAGTACTCAACAGCAGACATGGGAGGAGAAAGAGGGTTAGAGGCCATTCCAGAGGAGAGCCCTGGATGGTGTTATGTATTGGGAGGTTGGAAGAATTAAGGTAGTTCTAGTAGATTGACTCTATATAGGTTCTGTAAGAAGGTTATAGAAAATAAGACAAATAGAAAGGAATACTTCATATGGTATATTGATCTTGTTTGCAATTAATATCAATGTGGAGAAATGTATTTATACCATACTTGGGATTATGGTTGCAGCAGACCACCCCCAAATAAAACCTGATTTTGTCCAGTTTTCCAAAATGTGAATTTTTACAATAGCTTAAATATAATTATATATATAATTCACATTTCTAAAAATTCCAGGGAAAATCTGATTTTTATTTGGGGGTGATCTACCACAACCCTACCTGGGATGTGTATTCAGCATTCTCTTGTTGGAAAACCTCCTGGATGAAGTCCATGTTCCAAGCAGAAGTGGCTTCTTTTTTCCTGGCTGAGCAGCAGAGGAAACCAATAAATTTGGGATTGATGTAAGATTTTTCTGTAACTTTATCATTTATATTCTGGGGATTAGCAGGTGATTGAGTTTCTGTAAGGGGTGCTAGGCTCAGATAGCCCAGTTCCCATACTGGTGTAGATTATCACTAGGACATTATCCAGAGGAGAGCTGAAATGGCTAATTTAATAGGACAGCCAGAAGAGGATGGTCATAAAGAGTGCAGGAAATACCCATAAATAGCAGAAACACTTGTACCAACAAGCAGTCAGATAAAGTGTCCCAATGATGTTGGGTCCTCATCTTAGGCTTTGGACACAGCTAATAGTAGTGTCAGGGCCAGGAGTTGTCAGGTACCCAGGCATAAAAAAGAGCTCTATTCATTAGAATATCTTGTAACTAATGCACAGTACAAGAAAGAATTAGACATGGTCAGGTACAAAAAACCTGCAGCCAGTGGAAAGTAAACACCAAGGTTGGGGACAACTGCTTTGGCTAGACAAATGATGGCCATTATAACTATACCAGCTCTACTATGGCTGCAGGAATGTGAAAGTGAGGGAGCATTAACAATTCAGACTTTTTCAACAACAGCTGCAGTTGTATCAAAGCCTGTGCTTAAGCATCACCAATAAATTAATATTTCCCAAGGATACAAAAAATACAACTATGATTGATACAATAGTTTTATTGATGAGCCTAAACAGAAGGGGATTGAATTGCTTGGAATAATAGAGCTGAAAGTTTTTATACCCAACTCTAAGAAAAGGGGATGGTAGAAAAATTATGTTTAAATGAGATTAACTCATAATTTCAAAACAGAATTATATTTTCTGAAGTAAGATTATGAAAGCTGGAATTGAGAGCTTTTGGCTGACATCAGTTTTGGCTGAATAGTTCAGCATTCACCAAAATATAGGCAACCAAAGATGTTAAAGGAGAAACAAACAATCAAAATAGAAGTCTTCTCATAAATGTCAACAGAATAGGGAATATCAGTTGAGACTTAAATTCTCAGTCCTGAAAGAGCAGGAGAGTCAAAAGGAATACCAGCAATACCAGGAACTGGACCTGTCTGTTAATCCATGGGTTAGAGGAAATGGTAACATAAGGTCTGAAGTCTTTTGGGAGATGGCTGTAAACCAATGCTTTCAGGAACAATATGTTTATGTTGGTTAAATATAAAAAGGTTGGTAGAGTTTAAAAAGTAGTTGTATCAAAGCTCCTAACAATGTATAAGATTTAAAATAAGGACTAAGACAATTGATTAAGCCTAGTGTAAGGTCTGAAGGCTTGGGGCAAATTATTGTAAACTAAAGCCTTTAAACCAAGAATGTTTATATTTGTCAAATATAGAAAGGTAGGCAAGGTTTGCAATAGCAACTGAACTAAGGCTCCCAAGAGCTTATATGAAGTAAAATAAGGACTAAGACAATTTATCAACCCCAAGAAAATAAAATAGAGACCAGTCTTAATGACTGACAATTTGGTTAAAAAGTCAATTTCTAAGTCTGGGAAATGGTCTGCACTAGCAGGGGGATTGAAGCTATCAACAATTAAATTGTGGGTGCTACTATAAAAGTTGCCTAACTGGTGAATAATAAAGTCAAAAGGAATCATAGACTAAGATAGAGCTACAATTAAAAATTTGGAAAGAAAAACACAAGCCACAAAACCTAACAGGTACCTTTTTGGGGTGCAATGTCAGAGAACCAACCCTGATTGGCTGGCTTGCTAGCATTTGGGAACTGGAGGGTTGCGGACTGGGTGGGCAGGGCCCACCAAAGGATTGGCGCTAACTTAATGAGGTAGGACATTGACTTGCCCACCCACAACCACGGACCAGCGGCGGGAACAATAGTATCAATTACTCCCGTGAGAGTAATATATACAATTCCAAAAAGGTTGTTGGTATGGTCCAGTGGTAGCTCAGCGGCGGAGACAGGCATTGGTTTGGGGGTGACAGGTGGCTCCATGTCTATTTGGTAGGCAGGAAGGAAGTTGTATTTATCTCTGAACAGGCGGAGCTTGGTAACATACCAAGGGCCTTCTTGGTTGTATATGGTTAACTCTGTAGTTCTGGCCAAGGAATCCCAGGCTAGCATGTTGTTAGTAGTGTAGTACTTGTACTCAGGCTTTAAGGGGTACTCTGTCAAATGGACAGGACCAAAGGAAGCACCTGGCGGGTGGTACATAGCTGGCGGGCTGGCAGGGGGGTCAGATGATCTTTGAGTTAACTGGCAGATGACAAGAATAAAATACAGCAATAATTGGGGAAACCAATATCTCATAACCTTTATTTAAAAATGACAATGAGGGTTGATCTCGGCCTGGCAGGTATTTATACTACACTGCCAGGCTTCACTTCCTGGTCGGGGTTTCTGGGCTCAGGCGGTTTGGCATCAGGGGTCTCAGATGGCAGTGTGGCGCTTGGCACTGGTGGTTTGCCACTGGCTGCTTTGGGATGAGAAGACTTCAAATCCTTCTGTTTGTCAATTTGGGTATCAGGTGCCTCTTCAGGTTCAGTGCCTCCCCCAGGACTTTGGGGGAGTTTGGAATAACTCTCATTGAGAAACTTGTGCATTTTACCAAGCTAACCGCCAGTGTCAGGCATTGGCACCTTGGGGGAAATTCCTGACATATTGCACTGGCAGTTTGCTTGCAGAATCCTGCAAGACAGCTAAGGGTTTAGGTCCTGGCGGTCTGGCAGCAACTTTATCAATCAGTAGTGGGTTATTGGGTTCCCAACCTATGGGTCTGGCAGTCTGCAAAGGGTTTTGTCCAGGGTTTGACTCTGGTTCCATATTTTGAGATTTAGGAGCATCCAAATTGTCATTCCTGACATGCAAGTCAAAAAATCTCAACTTATTGTTGAGACTGGAGGACCAAGCCTTTTATTAAGATCAAAAAAGTGAGGTGCAACTTAGAATAAAGAGTTTAACCTGAGAAGATTAATGGTATTTGATAAAGGAAAAGGTTTGGAGAGACACAACATGGCTTGAGTTTAACTTAAAAAGTTAAATTTCTGACAGGAGACACCAGGAGGAGAAAGGCAGTTATGGCAATGCTTGGATAAGTAAAAGCTAGCAAAAAGTAAAGGAAAAACTAAGTCTGAAGCTTGAAAGAACGTAAATCAAGTGTATAGTAAAAAGTAAGTAGTTTGGAGCCAACTTATTAGCTTCTGCGTGTAGATCCAGGGTTCAAATCCAGTAGCAAAAGTTAAGAAAAGTTTGAAAATAATATTAACCAACATTTAGGTTGTAACTAGGCTTGAAAAAGCCCAATTTTAACCCCAAAAGGTGTAAAATGAAGGGGAGAAGGAGGGGAACATGAATAGACTAAGATAGAATAATTATGAGAAATCTTAAAAGCCATGAAGACAAATAAGTATAGATAAAGAGTAGCAGCTATAAGAAAAAGGTGCATCTTGACAGTATCCCCCCTAGCTGCTAGTCTGGAGCTCTTGGTAGTCCTGTAGCAACTGTTGGCAGTGGGTTAGATTTCCTTTGGCTTCTCAAGTGGAGTCCTCAAGTTCATAGCCCTTCCATAGGATGAGGTATTGCGTGCCAGATTGGAGGATGCAGTGGGATATGATTTCCTGTACCTCGTATTCTTCAGAACCTTGGAGATGAAGAGAAGGGGGTGGAGCCTTTGATTGATGGCTAGGAGGAGGTTGTATTAGCTTCAGGAGGAGTGAACAATATAAACCATTGTGGATGCAGAAGTGCTCAGGAAGGGATAATCTGAAGGGGGTAGTTCCAATCTTCTTCACAACTTGGAAAGGTCCAATGAAGCGGGGATAAAATTTGTGAGAGGCAACAATAACCGGGAGATTCTTGATTGAGAGGAGTACCAAGTTGCTAGGCTGAATCTTGTTGCCTGGGATTATCTTTTTGTCATAGTATTTCTTGTAGTCTAGGATGGCAGACTGGAGATGGGCAATGGGCTGGGTTTGTGTTTCCTTGATTGTAATGGCAAGTCTGGCTGCAGACTGTGAGCAGAAGTAGCCCTGCAAATCAGGGA